TCCGGCAGTTCCAAGAGGCTCTCAACCAGAAGTCGCTCCCGAGCCTCTTTACTACTGGGATCACTCATTTGGTTCCTAAAGACCAGGATACCACAGACCCGAGCAAATACCGTCCCATCACGTGTCTACCGACCATATTCAAGACACTAACATCCATTTTGAGCGCGAGAATCACTCGTCACCTGGATTCAAATCAGGTGACGTCAAACGTGCGCTCAAAATGGATGTCGGGGCGGTGGTCGTGAAACCAAGGTACCACTCCTCATTGACGCGGTCATTAGCAAAGTGGTGAAACGCAATCTTCGGAACTTCTCCGCTGCCTGGATGGACTATAGAAAGCCATTTGACTCGGTGCCCTATACATGGCTAAAGAGGGTCCTCGAGCTGTACAAGATTGACTGCACAGTTAGAGACTTCCTTGAGCAGTGTATGGGGCAGTGGAGTACCACCTTTGTCATCTGGGCGAGCGGATGACGGCTGCGGAAAGCCACATAATGATAAGAAGGGGTATCTTCCAGGGTGATTGTATGAGTTCAATCTGGTTCTGCCTCTCTTTGAACCCTGTTAATACTTTACTGGAGGGCTCTGGGAGGAGATTTCAGCTTCGGAAAGGAGGTACAAAAGTGATTCACCTTTTTATATGGATGACCTCAAGTTGTTCGTCTCCAGTCGCTCCCATCTTGTGGAATTGATAAACATTACTTGTGAATTTAGCAATTTCATTGGAATGGAGCTGGGGTCGGATAAGTGTGCGGTCCTCCATGTTGAAAGGGGAAGGGTTGCTAACTCTGAGGGCATAGACTTATCTATGCCCATCAACTTAAGGACCCTTTCCGAGGCTGAAACATACCGATACCTGGGTGTGTCACAGAACATCAGTATCGATGAGTTTAGTTTAGAACATCAGTAACAAAAGTATAGTGGGCGTGGCTTTTTGAGTTCGCTCACCATGCATTATCGCGAAGTGTGCAGCCTCCGTAATTACTTCCTGACAAGATCGGATGATCCATTCTATAAGGACGTCATTTCTTGTGATAAAGGACTTATCCCTTTATCCTTAGCCAACGAGCAATGGCAAGACCCGGCAGTGCAGAACATTTCCGACCAGGAGACCATATGGAAGGAGAAGGAGCTCCACGTGAGGTTCTACAAGGCTCAACATGAGCCTTTCGTAGACACAGTAGCCTCTACTGGCTACGCTTTGGTGACCTCTTCGGAGAAACCGAGGGTTTTGTCTGTGCAATACAGGATCAGGTTATTAAGACCAACAACTATTGGAGATAATCCTAAAGGATGGCACCGTCGATATCTGTCGAGCTTGTCACCGTCCCGGTGAGTCACTTATGCATGTCATTTCCGGTTGTTCAGCGCTTCCTCACTCTGAGTACTTGCACAGGCACAAGCTAGTAGCCAGAATTCTTCACAAGGAGCTCGTTCTGAAATACTGTCTTGTGGATTGGAAATTGCCGTATTACAAGTACTTGCAGGAGCCGTGCTCGAAAATGATCGCGCCAGGCTCTATTGGGACTGGGCCATCATCACAGACAGGACTATTCTTGCGAATGATATTGTGCTGATGGACCGGGCACAGTCAGGGATATTTTGGTTGACATTACCATTCCGTATGACGAGAACCTCATGAAAGCCGAAACAGATAGACGAACAAAATATCTGGATCTGGCTCACGAGGTGATCGACATGTGGGGTGGTCTGCCGACTGAAATTATTCCTGTAGTCGTTTCTGCAAACGGGCTAATCCCAGTCAGCCTCTCAGGTCATCTGAGGCGGTTGGGACTCCGTGACGGACCGCTCGAGGCTCAAATGCAGAAGGCGGTGCTCCTCGATACCGCCCGCATCGTCCGCCGGTTTCTTTCCCTTTCCCCCTAACCCACAGCCGTTTGGTCTTTCCTGCCAAGGGCCTTCATCTGTTTGGGCTCTTATTTATTTGTGTATTATTTATTTATTTATGTTAGTATATTAAATATATATTTATGTGTATTTATTTTTTCCTTTTATATATTTATCCAGCCCAACCAGATGTGGTTACTCTATCAATAACCCCCAATAATAATGATAACCCTATCCCTCGGCCGTTTGGTCTCCCCTGTCGAGGGCCTCCATCTGGTTGGGCTTTTATTTATATATGTAATTTTATATTTATTTTATTTCATTGATATGTATGTATATTTATCTTTTCATTTCCATTTATAATTATATATTTATAGAACCCAACCAGATGAGAAAACTATATAGATACCCCCCAAAAAAATTATAATAGTCGTAGGTTTACTATCGCACGACGTGGTCGCTTGCTACTTTGGTGGGGAGCGGTTGTGTCAGCGTGTATAGATAGCAGCTGTTTTGACTCGCCACTCACTTAGCGGTCAGCTGCCGTAGAGTTTAATTCTCCTGAAGATGACGCGTGTAGAAGCGGAACACGTGTCGTATTATCGTCGATGGTGTCTTTCCTGGAATAGTGATGTTGGAAGTAGTGGTGCCGGGAGTAGTGGTGTTCGGAGTAGTGGTGCTGGGAGTAGTGTTGGCGGGATTAGTGCACGCAATTGAGGGAGGGCGGGAGTTGCTCTTCAATCCAGGTAAGACACATCATTGTATTTAATTAATGCGGATGGTTGCGAATTAAATATTAATCTTTATTATATTAATTGATAAAATTCTGAATCAATGGCATACCATCAACTTTGTTAAATGGCAGAATAAAAAAAAATATCATTAGTTTCTGGGTTGAAGTTTTAGAATATAAAAACGCAGCTGGAATAAATAATTTCCAAGGATTAGCTAATTTTGCAATCTTTCCCTCACTCCAATGCCGTTGTAGAGAGAATTTTCAGTACTATGAATATCATCAAAAGCAAGTTAAGATACAGGATGAACATCAGCGCTTTTAACAGCATTCTTTTTATTAAAAAAAGGCTGAAAGTTATAAATGGACAATGCTACACCTACAAACTCCCAGAAGAAGTAATTGCGGAAATAGGAAAAAATAAAAATTACTCATTTAAACATTCTAAAAAAGAAGGTGGTTGCACTACTGCCATATTTCCGATGCCGTCAACATCAACATCATCGGGAGCAGAAGTTTCGGTGGACATGATGGATGACGAGTTGTTCCTAATTCTTGACGATTCTGTGGAGTTTTAAAGGTTTGATTAAAATTTAAAACTAATAATAAAAATGTAAAACTTCTTAGTAAGAACTATAATTATAATAATATGTTTAAGCTAAAAATTGTTAAAAATAAATGAAAAATTGTTTGTGTTATTATTTCATGTTTATGACCACTTAATGAAAAACTGCGAAGAATAACTATTTTAATAGAATCATGAGAAATCATGACTGAATAGGATCTAGGGAATTCTAAAGAATTTTTAATATACTGAATTCTCATAATCTAGCGAGATTCAATGGTACTTCTAGTGACTTGTCTAAATTAAAGGTGGCAACACTGCTGCCACGTACGTATACCACGGAGTACCTTTGTCGTAGACCACAAACTAATAAGAGTACTAAGTCGTAGACAGAGAAACCTATAGACTTATATAGTCTAGTAGTCTCGTGATTTTTATCGATATTTTTGTACTTATAGTAATGAAACGGATATCATAATGGTTCCGGTAGTTTAAATTTTCATTTATAATGCATCAAAATATGGTTTATTAAAAAACAATCATAAAAGTTACAAAAACTAACTTGTCCCTATTTATCCAGGCCTTGGGGTGATCGGGTCGCCTAAGGGGTTAATAGAGTTTTTCGCTAGGGCTGACACTTTCACACTATAGGTAGGTACCTACCTACAATAACTACCTACCTGGTAGGTAGTGTCTTTTTAGGTTGCGTACTTTACATATACCTACGAGTTTTTAAAGTGTCAGTCTCATAATATAAAATCTAATAAATCATAATTATATAATAATAATCATATATAAATAAAGTTAGAAATGTAGTGAAAAATAAAAATCCATTAATGAAATCAATGTTTTTTTGTTACTTAAAATTAAACAAAACAGAAAATAAATCTTACTTCCAAATAAACATAAAATAAAGTCCTCTCAAATCAAACTTAATTAAAATTTCTAACAGGCAAACTTAAAAATATTAAAAATAGATAGTATTATTTTTTAATTAATACGTAGATATTTATTTAATAATTAATAATAAAATAAATAGTACATATTTGTTTAATAATTAATTATTGAATAAATACGTAAGTATTTTTTCAATAATCAAGTCATAGCTCAAACTCACTAATTTTCTAGAATCTTCAAGATTTCATCACTGTCATTATAGTAATTCTTTTTCTTAGTAACATTTATTTTTTTTGTTTTATGGCTACGGTTTCAAAGTTTGCTTGATTGGAGTTTTCGGAAAAAGTTTTGTTAATTGTTCTGAAGTTATTTTTGTATTACTATTAATTATAATGTTCGGTTCATTTCTAGTGCTAGTACTGGCGTGTTCATTTTTAATTTCTATCAGATTTATTTCTTCTTTCACATTTGTTCCTTTGAAATCTGTAGATTCGCACCAGGGTATTACTATTTCTTCATACAATTGTAAATCTTCTGTTAGCACAACGGGTAATTTTTCAACTTCTATATCACACCAATCACTACGCTGTTCTTGATTATTATCAGATGCGGGCAAATTGTTCGTTTCAGTTATGATTGTTTCGGATGCCGTTGAACAAAATTGGCGATGGCGATTTATTTTCTTTTTCAAGACATATTTTCTTGGTTTTTTTTTCTACACCTTTACCTTTAGCACTTTTTGTGTTATTTATTGTTTGGATTCGTTTCTTTTTTATTTCAGGTTCAGTATCTGTATCAGCGAAAGTTTCTACGTCCTCGTGTGAAACACTTCGACCTGAAATTCGAAAACGTATCTACAAAATATTGTTGTAAGGACATAAAATGTAGGTCATCGTGTGTGTGAGTGTGTGTGTGTGTATGTGTATAATGTTGATTTGTCAAGAATTAGTTATTTACCTGAAATAACATCGATTTTTTTTTATTCTTTGGTTCCTTAATATTTATACTTCCGTATCGTATTTCTTTTAATAAATTTAAAACTGACTTGTCTATAGCTTCTTTAGCCTCTTCATCATTCTGCGCCTCTTCCGGAAATCTTGCCAACACTTCATTAGGATTTAATGGACCTAATAAAGGAACATTCATATAATTATTATTTATTTCAGGATAGGTACTTTAATTTATTAAAGAAAACATAGTAAAATGAATTATCTGTATTCACTATAATGCTTACCAGTCTTACGAAATCCTGCCCTAATATTATTTTCCGAATTTATATTAATTTGATCCATGAGCAACTTTAACATCCTTGAGAAGCAACCTTTTGGTACACATGATAGTGAACGGCCGTCCGTTTTCTTCCATTTTTGAAGAATTTGACGCCAGGCTACCTTCATCGGGCGGAAAAACGCCACATCCAGCGGATGTGTGAGATGTGTTGAATTTGTCGGTAAAAAGATGAAATGAATGTCAAAATTCTTACAGATATCTATTAGTTCTATCGATAAGTGAGACGATAGGTTATCGCCTATCAAGACTTTTTTCCCTTGCTTATTTTTAAAAAATGGAATGACCACTTCCTTGACCCAGTCTTTAAACACTTCTGCATCAAACCTTCCTGACGACGTTCGGTTATATCTTGCGTTTACGGGTCCATTTTTCACCCACGTATCGTAGAGGTTTGTAGATTTATAAACCACATACGGTGGTAAAAGCTCTCCTTCTGCAGTTCCTGGCATCGTCAGTGATATTAAAGCTTTAGAATGATTTAAAACTCGTTCTGGATATTTACATCCTCGCCTCGTTATTACTTTATGACGACCTGGGTCGTTTGACAAATTTGTCTCATCATAATTAATAATATTGCCCAGTGGCAAATTTTCAAGTGACTTTTCTAATTCCGAAAAATATTTATTGATAATGATTGGTGATGTAGCTGCTCTAGCGCGTTTATTGTTTTGACATAGCCTCTCCGAAATTGTACTTTTATGTCGTTCCAAAAAATTGAAGACAAATTATTTTTAAATCTTTTGTGCTGAATCCCTAACATATCTAAATAAATTTTTACTAAAAGTCTTAAATCAGTTATATCTAAAGGATATCCCCATTCAGCACAAGTGTTCAGATTCAGCACAATGTAATCTGCTGTTTCTTTAGTAAGTGCCGTTTGGCCTCCTGGTGACCTCATTAGTCTATTGCTATGCCTCTGTAAAACTGATCTGCTAATATTATATTTTTCTGCTATATATCTGATTGTTGCATGACGATTTAAACCTGTTTCATTACAGTCTTGTCATATTTTTATATTGTTTTCCACCAGGTCTTGGCTTATATACTCGTGGCATTTTGTATTAGAGAATAACTAAAACAACAACAAAAAAATAATATGAAAAAATCAATAAAATCTATACATATACATAGTAGCTTTTGCCCGCGCGGCTTCGCCCCCGCTCTTACTCCCTACTCCACCCTACTATACCCAACCCTACCCTATTCTACCCTACCCTACCCTAGTCCACCAGACTCTACCTTACTCTACCCTAAACTACCCTAATTTTCATTTTTTTCCATAAGAACCTTCTCCTGACATTAACAATTACACAACAAAGAAGGATAAGCGAAATCGGTCCAACTGTTCACGCGTGATAGCGTGACCAAGGGAAATAGGGATTCTTTTTATATTTATAGAAGATGTATACTTATAATGTATAAATAACTTCACGCGTGTTCCCCATAGGGATAGGAAAAAACTACAGAGTGCCGGGGCATGGTTGCGTCGGAAAGGAAAACTTAACCCCGGTATAAAAGCAACGAAGAAACGGGGTGGGTTTTTTAGTCAGTAAGAGTCTGACACTATCTCCCGCTCCGCCCAAGGGCGGGAGATGTCATTGGATGATCTTTACCCACCGGAAAAAAAAAGAGTGCCACCTGCTAATATCAAACAATTTAAATTTAATATCGCCTAAATTATGTAGGTGTCAATTTTTAATTAATATTAATCAACTAATCAATCATTACTAAAATTTAAATAAATGTGTAGGTAGGTAAAGATAGTCAGTTAAGTATGTATTAGGTATCAACACATGTATTAAGTTTAATGTAATTTAGAGATTGTGACAACCCTAGAAACAAAAACCCAATTCACCCATAGCCGTCCCAATTAACCCTAATCGGGTACCTATTAAACCCATTCCTGACCCGATTCTCCTCATCTACGACCCTATACACTCCATAGTTCGACCCTTATCCCCCCAATTATTGTTCAATTCTACTTTAGTAAGAATTTGTTAAATTATAGGAAAAACAATAAGATTATATCACTTACATTATAGCTTAATCCGTTCCCAAACAACTGAAAATAACGGTTAAAACTTCACTTCTAGTACAAATCAAGTAAACACCAGTGAAAATTAAAATGTGTTACGGAGCAAATTTCACACAACTTTGTCCCAATGTTTTGAAGTTCGTTTTTTTTAAATACTTATGACAGGATGGCTGAGTGCTGCCAGATTATAGAAAATCTTAACCAAAATCCTACCACAAAATGTAATACGTAACATAAATGTGTGAATAAGGTCGCAAATAAAACTTGAGGTTTGTCCCAATTCACCCCTTAGACCCTATTCCCCCCATTTTACGATACCAGTTTATTTTTACAAAAATTGCACACTTTTGCTGCGAAGTAACAAGTTTTGATTTGACTTATTTGGCCTTTATTTTGTATAATATTTTGATAAATACTAGTTATCGATTATATTAAATTATATAATATTCAGTATCGTGTTAAAATTGTGCTGAATATATAAATCATTTAACAAAATCCACTACACATCTATATGTAGTGATTATTATTCATCACAAACTGATTAAGTTATTAGGAAATATATTTTCATTAATATATTTAACTTGTGTCATCATCATCATCATCATTACAGCCCTTCACAAGTCCACTGCTGAACATAGGCCTCCCCCAAGTAATGCCACAAAGCACGGTCCTGAGCCACCTGCATCCATCGACTTCCTGCATGTCTTACCAGGTCGTCACTCCATCTAGGGGGGGGGGTCGTCCTACACTACGCCTACCGGTACGAGGCTGCCACTCGAGAACCTTTCTTCCCCATCGGTTATCGGTTCTTCGAGCTATATGGCCGGCCCATTGCCACTTCAGCTTACTAATCCGTTGGGCTATGTCGGTCACTCTGGTTTTACTGCGGATATCCTCATTTCTGAGTCTATCACGCAGTGAAACTCCGAGCATAGCCCTCTCCATAGCTCGCTGAGTGACCTTGAGCGTCCTCATACGGCCAGCGGTGAAGGACCACGTCTCAGATCCGTAAGTCATCACTGGCAACACGCACTGGTTGTACACTTTAGTTTTCAGAGATTGAGGTATACCTGACGAGAAGATGTGTCGTAATTTCCCGAACGCTGCCCAGCCGAGTTGAATCCGTCGATTGACCTCTCGGTCGAAGTTGGACTTACCTAGTCGGACTTACCTAGTCTTCGAGCATAGTGCTCCCAACAATTACCGGCATAGGTGTGACATGGACATTAAACATGATCTTTGTTTTGTCCATGTTCATCTTAAGACCTATCCGTCGGGAGACACCATTGAGGTCATTGAGCATAGTGCTAAGGTCCTCCAGCGATTCTGCCATAAGGACTATATCGTCGGCAAATCGAAGGTGAGTGATGTACTCGCCATTGATGTTAATACCGTATCCTTCCCAGTCCAGTAGCTTAAAAACGTCTTCCAACGCAGCGGTGAAGAGTTTCGGGGATATACATCACCCTGTCTTACACCTCTCTGCAGTTGGATAGGTTTCGTACTCTGGTTCTGTACTCGGATAGCCATCGTAGCCCTACTGTACAAACACTTCAGCACTTCAATATACCGACAGTCAACTAGGCACCGCTGAAGAGACTGTAGCACCGCCCAAATTTCGACGGAATCAAAGGCTTTCTCATAGTCCACATACGCCAGGCAAAGTGGTAGATTGTACTCTTCGGACTTCTGTACAATTTGCCGAAGGGTATGTATGTGATCTATGGTACTGAAGACTTTTCGGAAACCGGCTTGTTCGGGAGGCTGGAAGTCGTCGAGTCTATCTAATAACTTGTGTAGTGAATTATATTTATTTAAAAATAGATTATTTTTCACTTTATGAACTATGATGGCCACACTTTTTATTGGACGAAAATATTCACAAAGTACGAGTTTTAATGATAAAATTACTTTAATATTATGTTAAAAATAATCACAGATGAAAAGTCACATTGTCCTTTTGTATACTTGACGTTTTTGATTGTTTTTTTTTTCATGTAAATACACTTTGATTCAGCATTTTGTCGGAGCTCGATTTACTGGCACGATCACTTTAGAATGATGCACGACGCGGAGCAACTAGTTTTAAATAACGGGTATGAGTCGAACCTTTTACAAGGGGACCCTTGCGATGCCGTCTCCTTTGGTTTAATACTCAAAGCCTATAGACAAATTGACGCGTACTTTCGCATTCGCACACGAAACAGATAGATTTATGCATACTTCTTGCATAGAAATGAAACAGAGGTGTGATTGTTTGTCCCTTTTTCCGTGCCGGTTTTTTTTGTTTAGCAAACTACACTTTGCTAAACAACTTTGACAGTTCGTACCGGTGTAAGGAGTTTACAAGTTGATTTAAGTGAGAAAAAGAGTGTTTTGTGAGCTTAAGATTGGTGAATCTATCTTTTAGTGAAAGAAGGCGTCAATTTGTCACTAGGTTTCTCTGTCTACGCTGAAAGTACATACCATAGATAAATAGATGTGTAGCATCTGTGTACGTACCTACTACCTATACCTCTACAGCATAGAGGAAAGTAATATACTATGGTAATATATCGTACACTCTACAGTCTACAGCTGATTCCTAGAAACGTATCCTCTTAGCTCTTAGTAGTCTGTGCTAGAAACTAGAAATGACGTGAAAGTGTGTACACATTTTTGTACAGTTTTTTGTTGAAAATGTTATTTGAGTTTATTTTATAACTATATTTATGTTTAAGCCACAATGTTAAACATATTTAAAAATATTCTGGAAGCAAAAAAAGAGCTTCTAGTATGTGTGTCCTTGTCGGTATTATACCTAACCTATTATCTAGTGGAAGTAGTCAAGGTAAAATCCATTAACTTATAAAATTTACATTACAGCTACATCGAAAATACTTATTTTGCTATACCGTTCCCGTTACAGCCTATTAATCTCATTGAACGCGGCCTCCCCTTAAATTACCTCATAGGGGGGATATTTGCCTTAGTTGCCACACTTGGCAAGGGGGGGTTGGCAACCGCAGTTTTTTATTTTAGCAATTATTAGAAGGATGCTGCTGCCCATTCCCTGATTAGTTTCCCTCTATCGCCTCTTACGACAACCACGGCATGACATTGGCTAGTGAATGTTCTTACACCCCCACTCTATGGTATTCTGCTATGTTGTCGTTTATTCGTAAGCCTATTTGTAAAGTCATTTACTTTATAAAAAATCGTTATTTCAGAAACCAATCCTGATTTGCCGAAAGGGCGAATTCCGACAGTTACTGGAGGATCATGTTCCTATATTGAATGAATACTATTGGCCTACCATATGGTGTTTTGAATCGCGGTTGCAGACAGTTCTTGGTTCAGTACTTCGTTCTCTGTTCCTGCCTCCATTAAGATTCCGACGGTAACTTGATTTTCATAAAATACTAGCTAGCCTGGTTGATGTGCTACTCTATCTGGTAGATGGCACAATGATTCATGTCTTGTCTCGTCTGCGCTAGCTTTCGTGTTAATATTTTGGGGTTGGTTATAGACATCTGGTACTTGATTTTAATTATATTTTAAGTTTGGGAGGCTTGTCAGGGTTAAGCTTGAACCTCTAACATTGTTTTTGGATGTAGGAAATGTGTTTTGAAGTAATTATGATAAAAATAAATTTCACTGAAAATTGTGTATAATGAAACGCAAGCATGTCAATTTGCTTTTTTTTAATACACGGGCACACTCATAATAAAGTTAATTACTTGGACCCAGACAATCGCATTTTGAATCTGTACTAAAACCGAATCAGCATGCCTTAACTCTACATAGTCTTATCTGCCCTACCTCGAGAGTGTTTTTGTAACACCAAGTGAGACAAGACATATTTAAGTCATTACTTCAATATGTCTATATGAAAGACTTTATTCCCTAAAGTATTATCAAGATATATTGCATCTATTTGGGGGTTTACATAAAGTTATTGTGTCCATATTAGATGTAATTTAACCCCCATTAGCTATTATTTTTATTACTAGTATTGAACCTGATGTGTGAGACAAATTTTCCTTAAATGTTTTATTTTATTGATAGGGGTGATAAACAAGCACACAGTCCACCTAATGGTAAGTGGATACTGTGGCATAGACATCTTCAATTAAGAATCAAAATGTAGATGTGTAGCACTTGTATAGCATCACTATGACTGCTTGGGTGCAGCTCGGCGGCACTGTATTCATACAACGGGCCAATGGCCAGGACCGAGTTGTTGCCGAGCATTGTCCGTGCTATGCAGTCACTCAGTTGCCGCTAATAAGCGGCAACACACTCATATATATAATAATATATATGAGTGTGTCCATACAAAATATATGTAATATTAGTTGACCATGCTACGGTCGCCACTTGGCTCGGACCCTACACGGTCTAGCATGACCCTTTTAGCTGCTATTTCATGCTGGTATTCTGTGAGATAATGGTCCAACCCTGGTGGAGCTAATTCATTGGTGCTACAGTCGTAATATAGCTGTAGTGTGTCTCTAGCACTTACAAAAGTATAAGAATAACGCTGTGCGTGTATAGTGAGGTGCTGCGGCTGTCGGATGGCGGGCAGTTGGCTCTGGACTGGCTGGTGGAGGAGGAGGGTGAGGAGTGGGTAGAGGGCGGGGGGACGGCGGCGGCGGAGCGCGCCGTGCTGCTGGTGCTGCCGGGGCTGACGGGCGGCGCGCACGCGGACTACGTGCGCTGCCTGGCGGCAGCGGCGCGAACGCTGCGCGCTCGCCTCGTCGTCTACAACAACCGCGGCCTGGGCGGCCTGCCGCTCACCACGCCGCGCCTCTACTCCGCTGTCAGCTATGAGGTGCCCCACATAACCCTATCGTTAGCTTCCTTAAATGTTATGTCACCATGTGCAGTGCTTGTCCCAGTTTAGAGATGGGATCATAACCCGAGTCCATCATACCATTCCCAAAAACAATTCTTATGTTTGCTGAATAATGTTTTGTCTGAATATCCTATGTAATTTTTTTACAGAATAATTTTACAAACAAGTACACAGGCAACCTAATGGGAAGTGGATGCTATGTGATGTTGGTGCGTGGTGACGATGGTGCATGGATAGATGCCGTGTGTGATACCCATAGACATTTACATTTATGCATGTAATATTCACTTGAAAAATGCTAGAATATATGACACAAGCCAGCACTGCTACAGTTTAGTTACAAAACTATTTCAAAGTCCATTTTGATGCTATATAACATTTACTGCTTAGAGAAAAATTCTTGTAAAAGATATTTTCTCAGTTCAAGCTATTAATACTTAAAAACAGATCATTTTTAAAACAAATAAGGATGACAATCGAACACATATACCTACTGATAAAATATTTAAAAAAAAGGATGATAAACAAGCACACAGCCCACCTGATGGTAAATGCCACACCTCTTCATATACCCTCGACTAAAAATCAAAATGAAGATGCATTGTCACCCCTGACGACAAAGATGGAATGCATTGTTTTCAGTAGAAGCGTCTCCGGTTACACTCACCACATGAGACACAGCAGTATTTAGCTGCTGTACTGTAGTATTAGTACGTATTATGAAGTGCCGAGAAATGGATGCGAGTCAATGACACGTGACAGGACGTCGCGGAGGCAGTGCACGCGGTGGCGAAGCACGGGCCCGTGCTGGCGGCCGGTGTGTCGCTGGGCGGGCTGCTGCTGGGCCGCTACCTGGCCGAGCACGGAGCCGCCGCACAAGTGCACGCCGCGCTTGTCGTCTCGTCGCCTCTTGACGTGCCGCGAGGTACAGTGTTGTGCAGTGCACACAGTGCAGCAATATGGTGTCCCGTGCTGCCAGGCAGTCTGCTGCTGGGCCGCTACCTGGCCGAGCACGGAGCCGCCGCACAAGTGCACGCCGCGCTTGTCGTCTCGTCGCCTCTTGACGTGCCGCGAGGTACAGGGTTGTGCAGTGCACACAGTGCAGCAATATGGTGTCCCGTGCCGCCAGGCAGGCTGCTGCTGGGCCGCTACCTGGCCGAGCACGGAGCCGCCGCACAAGTGCACGCCGCGCTTGTCTCGTCGCCTCTCGACGTGCTGCGAGGTACAGTGTGGTGCATTGCACACAGTGCAGCAATATCGTGTCCCGTGTCGCCAGGCAGGCTGCTGCTGGGCCGCTACCTGGCTGAGCACGGAGCCGCGCCACGGTGTCGTGTTCGACTTTAAATGTTTTACCTTGTGAAACAGGATTTTTTTTAGTGTTGAGGTAATATTTTCTGTGTTGTGAACTCGACCGAACGAAACGACCTCAAGATAACGGTTTCCTTATACTGCGTAGATTAGAAGAAATGAACATTAATAATTTTAATCTGGAGGTAGCCATGGTTAACTATGACATTGGGATTGGGACGTCGAACATCTCAGAACCCCCGGGACAATGGTACGTCGGGAATATAAAATAAATTAATTATACGCGATAAAATCGCTAAAAACTAGTTTTATTTAAATGTAGTTTTCGCGTAAATATGAGAAATGTTAGAGCCATGCTGCAGCTATATTACGGTTGTAGCACAAATGGATTGGTTTGACCGGGGAAGGACTACGCTCTCACAGAATATCAGCATAAAGTAGTAGCTCAATGCTTCTGTGTTTCGTATGGTGAGTATAAAGAACCGCAGACTAACTAAACTGAACTTACTGGAAACGAGGCACCATCTTAGTAGTATTCAAGGGTAAATAATAGATAAATTTTATTTCGTTTTAAAAAGTAAATGCCTTAGGAACTAGTAGATTGGAACCTCCATTTAAACAAAAAATGCCTGTGTTTGGAGGGTCCGCCTTCACATTACTATATTCATGTTACATGGCAGTGTGGGTAAACATATTCTATATCCTATATTAAAGTTATCTATATATTATATTACTTATATTCTAAAATTAGGACAATCAAACGATAGGAACTAGTCTACTTATAAATACTGTATGGTATGTGAGTGAAAGTTTATTTATTTATGTATACGCGCGCGCGTGTGTGTGTGTGTGTGTGTGTGCGCGTGTGCGGTGCGTGTGCGTGTGCGTGTGCGTGTGGGGGTGTGTGTGTGTGTGTGTGTGTGCGTGCGCTGCGCGTGCGCTGTGTGCGTGCGCGTGTGCGTGTGCGTGTGCGCGTTCTGTCCTGTGTGTGCGCGCGTGTGTGTGTGCCGCGTGTGTGTGTGTGTGCGTGCGTGCGTGTCGTGTGCGTGTGTGTGTCGTGTCGTGTCGTGTGTGTGTGTGTGTGTGTGTGTGTGTGTGTGTGTGTGTGTGTCAGTCAGCCACTTATCATCGAGTAGATTGTGTTGTCGTTTGTTATTCTTATTCAATAAAATAATATTGAACAAAGTCAAAGGCTCGATCATTTTGGTCTTTCGAGCCGAATTGAACTATCGAGCTATGAGTGTATAGTCAAAAAAAGTGCACGTGTGTGCAGGGTCGCAGAGTATCGAGCAGTGGGGGCTGAACGCGGCGCTGTCGTGGCACATGGCGCGGCAGCTGCGTGGCACGGTGCGCGCGCGGCTGCCGGCGGCCGCGGAGCGTGTGCGCGGCTGCCGCTCCGTGCGCGAGTTCGACGCGGCCTTCACGGCGCCGCACTTTGGCTTCGCGTCGCCCGACGCGTACTACAGCGCCGCGTCGCTGCGTCCGCGCCTGCACTCCATCGCGCGCCCGCTGCTGTGTCTCTGCGCTGCCGACGATCCTTTCCAGCCCTTTGAAGGTATGTTTTAAAAATACTTTTGGTGGAAAGGTTATAATTTTATTCTGAGTGAACACTATTAGTCATTATTTTGCTATTAACATGTACAAAACTATGTTTACCATAGGTGTATTATATTTTATATGTTAGATTTGAATTACGAAAATCATTATAAATGTAAAATATGACGACGATGATAACAATAAGCGGTTTGGAAGCATAAAATGTAAGAAGTAAGTTATAATTTTGTGTGGCCAGCGCTGCCAGTGGCGGAGGTGATGGCGAGCTCGAGCGTGGCGCTGTGCGTGCCGGCGCGCGGCGGACACATCGGGTTCCTGGAGGGGCTGTGGCCGGCGCGGCCGCCGCGCACGCAGTACCTCGCGCGCCTCGCGCACCAGTACTTCGCCGCCACCGCGCTGCTGCCGCCACACGCTCCAGCGCCGGCAGCCCCCGCGTTCACTTAACACTAAGCTGTCCAAACACAGACCAAACTTAACATAAAGACAGCACTACCCTGAAACTAAAATTCTTTCATGTTTAATATACAATGTCGCGACAAAACTGAAAAACGATGCGATGACCATGATTTTAGATGCATACGTGCAAGAGTGTGTGTTTTAACAATAACATGAGCATGGTTTTAGAATCACTTGAAATGTGCGTAGCGTTACGTCTTCATCTTCAGTTTGGTCTGACTATAAAAGACAATAACAAACTTAAAATTATGAGAGTAGCACATCGCGAGTTCAATCTGTAAACTTGTTCAACTATTTTATTCTAAATTTGAATATACATATTATGATTTTTAGGAGTTAATAACGCACAACCCACAATACTGTCACTAAAATAAGTCACAAATAATAATAACTATAGATAAATTTAACTGTTGTATCTCTAGACAACATTAACTTTCTTTGAGCCTAAAATACGAGTATTAGTAAAGTTATTAAAAAAATATACAAAAACAGTATAAACCAATTCCATAGCATTACATTTACAGGTTGATAAGTTAAGTTTTTGTTTAATAGATAAATTTACTTTATACAATATATTATTTTATAGAATTAAAAAGCTAAGTTTGACCTAGTTGTTCAATAAAAATCGGTACAGTACAACCTTGAATCAAATTCAAATTGAAAACCTGAAGGAAATAAAAATATTCGTTATACCAATTAATTCGTTACTATAAGGTTTGTTAATTTGTTGGTACCACGATTAGGTTGGTCTGATTCATATTAGCAAGATAAGCAAACTTAAAAAAAAAGTAAAACACATAAAAATCATTAAAAATTAATTTATTATTACAATTTGAATTCCTGGTAATATGATACGATAAATTGAATGTGACTGAACCTGTCGAGACACGAGTTCTTGTTAGATGGATTGCTAGCATACTTTATGCAGCAGAGGTTAATTATACTTTCTGTTTATGTTTTTTAATGATTGAAGAAAAGTTTTAAAGAGGTTTTTTTATAAAAGTTATTCATAATGTAAAGGTATATTTTGTTAAATCGAGGAGATCGTTAGATTGAGGTTCATTATACTAAGGTTGTACTGTATTATGCAGACATATATTCAAGTGCACTTAATTTTTATTAAAAAAAATTAGTAAATGCATGTGCATACACCATTGTCTTACTTATAGCAATGTATGACAATAAGCACAAAGAGATTATATTATCTAAAATTATAATATAAATGAAACATATGTTGTATACGTGCAATTTATTACTGACGAATTTATTAAGGCATGCATATTAACTTTGTACAATTTTTGAATAGATGATTAGTGAAACGCTTCCCACATGACGCTGGCACGGCACCACCGCTGGACTAACACTAAAAGTATTTACTAGTAAATAAAAATAAAATTGCTCAAGTGGTAATTAAGGGTATCAATGAAATTAATTACCGTACGAAGGCAACGCAAACTACAACGGTGACAATTTTACAGTTTAATATAAAAATGTATAGATTCGTGTGATTTTGTTGCCATTCCGATGAATGCTACTAATGTCGTTCACCCGCTGCGCCAGCTGGGACTGAGGTGTGTTTTTTGTTACACAGTTGCATTTAATAATTGAGAAGTTGCGTTTTAAATAAAATTTTATCCGGTATCTGGAGTATTATATAAATACACAAGACAATGCCTCGGTGGATTTTTCCTTAATGTTTTTCAAATTCTTTTCAAACCCTTTTTTATTTTTCTATTTTTAGGTAATATCTAAATATTGTACGTAGTTTGGTTTATTTACTTCTCGTTAATATAAAATATAACTAATATTAGAGAAAGAAACATTAACCCTTACGTTTTCCTAACAAATTAACTCGTTGCCATGTAATTTGTCAAATATTTCACCTGGTTCCAAAGTGACGTTGCCCTGGTGGTAAAAAAGTTGTGAGTGCACTGACTGGTGTTCCGACGTGCAGCGGCGGTGCGCTGGTGCGCTGGTGCGGCGAGCCGGCGAGCAAGCGCAGCTACTTGCACATTGCTATTGCAACTGCACTGCGTAGGTATGTAAGGATATTAAAGCTTTTGCTTGCTGTCTCGTGTAACAAAGTATTATAGTATTAGCAAAGCGGAGGCGGAGAGGACAATTCAATTGAAACTGTGATGTATGTTATTCATTAAATATTTTAAAGTTGTTTCTTATATTACTGTTACGTTGTGTTTGAAATTCACCGTTGCGGTGGCATTATTTTTAATAATTACCATAAAAATTAACCTAGATGTAGAATGCGATTATAGTTTTAAGACTTTCTGTTTAAATTTGTATACAACTTATTGAATTAATTGGCAGTTTTGTTTTGCACAATTATTTACAAAAAAGGTGCTTCAAGGGTATATTCCGTAATGGCTAAGTAATTTATAAAATTATATACATAGCATTATTTATTGTATTTACAAATTTGCGTCCAAAGAGATAATAATAAAGTCTGTGATGTAACGGCACGAGGCACCGCAGCCCCACAGCCGTGGCCCGCGCACATATCGACCCACTTTGTATAGTTTATATGAGAAATAAACTCATTGGAACTAACGTTTATTTTATTTCTGCACACAATCGAATAAATGTAAATACTACAATGTAATACTATGGAGAAGTGTTGAAAAATTTGCGACGGATCGAAACCCCCACACTCGTTCGAGCACTATAAACCGTATAGAAATGTACTCTGTGGTTATGAACTAAGGCGCAGGGCACTAGCTTGTGTCAGTTATAAAGACTAATGGCCCACACACATAGTTCGTTAAACTAATCAGTTGAACTGATCAGTTCAAATGGATTTTTAAGCCAAAGAAATTTCCACACACACGGTCAGTGGAACTAATCAGTTCAAAGTAGGACTGTTGATATTTTTTAAAGTATCGGATTTTTGATATATCGATAATAATTATAAATATATCGTCATAGTCGTACAATAGTGACTGATCTACAGGGCAGCCGTTTCAAATAATTATGTTACATTTTTTAACATAATGTTGCGCGCCTAAGTTGACGTCATGTACCCGGCACTAGCGCCATCTAGTGTCAGGGACGAGAGCGGGGGGAGTTTCCAGAAAATGACATCACTAATCTTTCAACCGACAGCGCCATCTGGTGTCGAAACGAAGAACTAAGCTTTTAGAAGCCGACACTCGAACTTTCGTTGCCTTGTCGATTGGTGCGCGTATTTACTTGAATATTCTGGATGTTTCGGTGATAATGTGTATTTATAGGCGCTGCAAGATGCGATCGGGTAAGTATTGAATTTGGCGAGACAAGCGAAGCTTCGGAGCGAAATAAAGTGAATCAGTTTGATTAATTATTAGTGTTCTAAATTTTAATTAGTGTAAAGTGAATTAACCTGTTAGCTCGCGAGGCCACGCGTAATATGACACTCCCGTTCGCTCGCGACCGTAATGGTGGGAAAATTTGCAAATTAGCAATTTTTTTGCTATATTGCAAATTTTGCTATATTTTCACTTTGAGACAATATTTATGGATAAAACTTACAGGAATTCTTGTTGAATGTATAAACTATTGAATAAAATTATTTTGGTTGCTAGAAATTATAATAAAATTCATAAATTACCTTTTATAGCATGGTAGTAGTATATACTTCACTTTTAGTGCCAAAATTACTACTAATTTGAATTCTACACTTTTGTTTTTGGAGAAATTTATATGAAAATGTTTGGAAATATATATATTTTTATGTTTTATGTGTTTCTATTCGTTACTCATACCAAAATATTAAAATATAAAAAAAATAAAAAAAAATAATAATAATAATATTTATCTGTATGACATTTCGAACAATATTTCAAAAATATTTTTGTGTGAATTTGAAATAAATACAACGTCAAGTTATTTGAAATATGTAAGAAAACTATTTTTACTTACATTTTACACTAAAAATAAATGAGAATTGGAAAAATAACACATTTATGACCCAACCGCCAAAATGGGCGTTTCGTATTTCGAAGTACTTTTGGTAATTTACTTTTCACTTTTTATACCACAAATTATATATCTACGTGTTTACTATATTACAAGGAATATAAAAAAGTATAATGCTTTCGTTTTTAGTCCAGACACAAATATAAAATGTAATTGTGTAATTCCATCCTCGCCCGGGGACTTGCCGTTTTTAAGGTGGTGGAGAGCCATTCTAATCTCGCTCAGACTGACGTCCGGGATATCATCGGAATAGTGTCGGATAAGACTTGCTCTTGGATCGTTACTCACACTTGCGTGTGGCTCCAACGATGATGTGTACAGCTGCCCATAGAACCTCTCAATCTCACTCAGAATCTCAGGTGTCCCGGAAACGATGTTGCCACACTCAGTCTTCAGCCTTGACAGTTGGGTCTTTCTGGCAGACAGATCTCTGGCAAAGACTTTGGAGCCCTGGTTCCGCTCGATCGCTTCTTTAATACGAGCAGTATTAAAGTTGCGTAAGTCTCGCCGCATGCATTTGGAGATCTGTCTGTTCAGTTGCCTGTATGCTGTCAAATCTGTTGACGATTGCAGCCTCATCTCCCGTCTAACAGCCATGAGATTAAGAGTGTGATCGGAGAGTTTTTGTGTTCTTCTGCGGCGGGACTTGCAGAACTTAGCTCCGACCGGACATGGACAGTTTCCACGAGCTTGTCATTCATATCGTCCACTGCATTGCAATCCTCTAGGCACTGAAAGCGGTTTTGTAACTCGAGCTGAAAGATTTCGGGATTCTGGATTAGAGCACGAGGGGGACGGAGCGTTGACTTCATTAGACGAGACCTCTCCAACTTAACATTTAGGTTCAGTGTGCCTCTAACCATTCGGTGATCGCTGCCAGTTTTCACCCTTGCGATCACTGAGACATCACTGAACAGTTGGCGTCTGGTAGTCATAATGAAGTCAATCTCATTTTTTGTCGAACCCTCGGGGCTCAACCAGGTCCACTTCCTCTGGGGCCGCTTCTGGAAGAAAGAGTT